GTTAATGCTTTATAAATAAGCCTTCGTTATTAGAAGCGAAAGACTCAGTGCGCCAGTTCAATGTCACAGAAGTGAATTATGAAAAAGCGGTTACGTTTTTAAATAATAAGTATGGTGATGAGTCACGCCTCATCGATAGCCTCCATACGCAATTAGAGAGTACTCGCGCCGAAAATCCAAGCCCAGAAAAGCAGCGTCGCCTCCTCGAGACAATTCTACCAATTGTGTCACAATTAGAGGATATGACAAGAACAACACTTAACTTCTCTTCGCGACATCCAAAAAAGACTTCCGACAAACAGCAGACTCGGACAAGATATTCCTGCTGTAGGAGACGTTGTCCTCGTAAGCGACCCTGTTCTTCTACGACACGAATGGAGAATGGCGCGCATAACGAATATAAAAAAGGGTAGTGTCGGTAAAATTCGTGAAGTAGAACTCCGAACTTCCATCAGAAGGACCATACGGCGGTCAGTAAACTTACTTATCCCTCTAGAATCCCCTAGAAGTCCAAGAGACAGCTGAGAGTTCGGGAAGTCAAAGAACTTCAACGACAGATCCACAAAATCTGGAAGGTTTTCAGTCTCCTGTCCGTAGCACCACCATTACGATCTGCGTCGCCGCCATCCAGTTCATTATGCGGGAAATTATACGTGTACCTCTGTGATGGCCTTCCCAAAAACCTTGGGAAACTCGAAATGGTTCCTCTTTTACATGATGATTCCCTCTTTGTACGGACATACGCTTGGGAAAGAGTCACCGTCAGTGCAACTATCTTGCACGGAAAAGGGTATCAGAGTTAATTCAACTACACCACTAGCATTTGAAGTTTGCGCCGACATGACCTGCAAGATATAGCACTCCGATGGAACTCCGCGAATTATACGATTTCCGCCCGAAGTCACGCTGCATGATCACAAGGTAGCACTGAAATGACATGCAAACGGCCAACTCGCAGTTATTGGAACGGCATGCGAAGGACTAGACTTTTGTGCGAAAGTTAGTTGCTGGGTTTAAAACAACAAACAATGACACTACATAATCACAACAAGTTTTCGAAGTGCCCGCCCTCTGCTTTTATACAGGCTTGTATTCGTCTTTTTGCCGAAACCACGGTGCGCCGAAAGTAGTCGATGTTCAAACTGTCCCGGAAAGTGTTCACCGTGAAAGAGGCTAAAACCCTCAGAATCGACGCCAACTTTTTGTTCCCGTTTTTACGAAGATCCGGAATAGATGAACTGCCACAAGAAGTTTGTTCCCCAACAGCTTAAAGTTCGTTCCCCAAAAGTTTAATGGTTTGGAGTGGTATCAGTGCATCAGGCAAGACTCAGTTGGTTTCCATAGACAAAAATGTGAAAATTGATGCAAAGTTCTGTAAAAAGGAAATCCTTGAAGAAGCTGTGCTATCCTAGAAGCGAAATCATCCCAAATTCATCTTCCAGCAAGACTAGGCTCCAGCCCATGCAGCGAGATACACCAATGACTTCCTCGTCACCGAGATGATCGCTTTCTGACAAAAGATCTATGGCCTTTTATAGCTCAGATTTGAATCCTTTGGACTTGTTGATTGGGGTAATATGGAAGAGGGACTAAGGAATAGAATCGTGAAACGTTTGGTGGCTTTTCGAAAGGAAGTGTGCAAAATCTGGGACAGTTTGGACATCGCCTAAATTCGGCGCACCGTGGTTTCGGCGAAAAGACCAATCGAAGCCTGTATAAAGGCAGAAGGCGGGCACTTTGAAAACTTGTTGTGTTTATGTAATGTTATTGTTTGGTGGTTTAAGGAAATACTAGGCGGCTACGCACGCATTTTCGTGCGCTAGGGGCTCTAGCGCTAGCCTTAAGAAACAGAACCACATAAGCTGATTTTCATTATAGACCTTTATCGGATTTGTGAGTTTTCGCCAAAACCCCGCCCCTTGTGGGCGGAGTCTGGTTCTGCCATCCACCATAAGCTTTCACATCATGGCGCCTGTACTTCTACCGAGTTTGAACTTTCTAAGTCCATGGGAACCGGAGTTATGGATTTTCGTATATAAATGTAGAAGGGATGTGAGCTTCGAGGCACGCTTGGCCCACTGTGGGCGATCCTCCGCTGACGCCATTAATACTGGAAACACCTTCGACAGTGCTTCTCCCACATCAACTTTTTCCTGCTCTGTTGGCTTTCTCCAAACCGAGATATAAATGTTTTCATAAAGCATTACATTTCTAGAGAACGTCCCGCCCATCGGGGGTGGGTCTCCCCAGTTCGATCTAACTTGCCAATGCACACCTTTAGCCACCTTTAAACCCCAGTTTTGAAGCCGTCTTGTTACTGAATTTGAAATCATGGTCCTCAGTAGGGCTCATTTCGATGCACGGCACGCCCATTGTGGGCGGGGCTCCGACATGCTGATGTATGTTTTATACTTCTCGAGACCTGGCCCACCCATCCCACACTTGACCCGGTCTCTACAGGCAGATCTAAAGGAGCTAAGGAATTTCGTAACAGACATGCAGACAGACGACAGACAAACAGACAGACAGACAGACAGACAGACAGACAGACAGACAGACAGACAGACAGACAGACAGACAGACTAAGCGCTTTATAGTAAGTATGATATTTCTTTCCATGTTGCTATGCAAATAGTAAAGTTTGAGCGTTTTTTATGGCGCACGTAATTTTTCGCCACCCTGTGATTGGGAAGCCATTACGCCTTCTGTTAGCAGGTGCAGTGTCACTATTTCGGTGCCTGGTATGCGCTGTTAGTCAGCTCTTACTAAAACTACTGCAAAAATCCCGAATAAGATCTAGATCCTCTCTTAACGCTCGTTTAACAGCAGCACTTGCACTAATAGCATCACTGTGCTGTATGGTAGGATCGACATTCTCATGTCAACAGATTAATTTACTAGAGCACCATGCTACGGTTTGCACCAACAAAGATGGCAAAGACCTTTGCTCAGTTAGGCTGACCGATGTATTGAAACTGAACACTTTCACCCAACACGCTTGTTTGCGCCTGGTCAGAAACTCTACTCTAATGGCCAATGTTAAAATGAGATGGATAGGCTAATACCTACGTTGTGAGGAAGAAACGGAATACTATACACGTTCTACGTTTGTGCACGTTGTTGACAGTAAACGTTGTCCGTATATGGGGTCATGTTCAGGTGAAAAATGCGCCGGCATCAACAGCACTAATATGATTCCAAAGCTTGGAAGCGGCAACTCTTATCCAGGACGTACTGACTGTTTCGAGTCTTGTAGAATATTTCGTTGTCTGCGCTGGACGGAAAAGGTCAAAGTAGAGAGGACCTCTAGTCAAATTAAGGCCGTATTGCTATGTCGCCCAGCTCGTCCCAAATGTTCCAGTGAACTTCGAAACCTTACAAATCACTATGACTCCACTCACAATGCCACTACGCAGCTAAACAGCGCCTTCATCACACGGATACGGCACGGCTACTTGGACCGGTACAAATCTACTTTTCGAAAGCCAAAGAGCAGCCGAGACACTAAACTGCACGTTTTCAGAAAACTGTAAGTGCGCAGCGGCTGAGTCGAAGGTGCGATGTGAATGCCCTTCGTCTGATGTGGCTGAGGAATTTAATCACATTCCGCTAAAACAACCAGTCAGAACACCATTTTGGGAACTGCGAAAAAGGCACAAATCCCTCCTGGTCGCGAAAATCCCTAATCTAGTTTCTTCCGAATTTCGTCTTACCTTTCATAGGACCTTTGACACAACTTCCGTGGAAGTACGGAACCTTACTTGCGCCGTCGAGAACACAACATTAAGAGGCTGTTATAATTGCGCAAAAGGTGCCGTAGCAGACGTGAAATGTAATTCGCCAGAGGAAACTTATGGGGGAATCGTATGCGCCTCACTCTCCTTTCTTGTTCCATGTGCACCGACTGGACCACTGTCAAGCCTGCGATTTCATCTAGGTTCTGCACGCCAACTCTTGAACTGCACTATTTCCTGCTCAACTATCAAATACACCTTCGAAATAGGGGGCTTGTTGAAATACGTTAATACTCTACATTACCCCTTATTGTCAAAACTCCAAGGAAGCAGCAATACTCACCTTGAGTTTGTTTGGCCTGATATAGCGCACATTTTTGACGTATAATGCTTTGGTACAAAACCTTAATTATGGCACTTCTCATAGTTGCGCTATCAGCCTTTCTCGTGTATATATGCTTGAGTACTATTGGAATACAAATTTTAGAACTAGTACTGCGCATCCTTCGAATCTCATGCTGCTTACCTCTCCGCTTAATGTTTCGTACTATGTCATGCATTCCATGAAAAAGCATGAAGCTCAAAACGCGCCGATCAAAAAGTATACGTAGTATTACCCATTGCGCCACAACCCAATTAACTGAAATCCTTCAGCTTCCGTGCCACGGACACCACTTAACCCGCAATTTCGCCTTGAAGACTTTCGGTAAGCAATCATGTCTGAAGAGGTATTTCATAAGTGCACCTTTTTCCGCCAACATTGTTTCGTGGACAGTTTTAATACTTTTCTTTCAGAACACGGTATACACCGAAGATCTTAGCGAAGAACTTCGGTAAACTGAGCATAGACTGCGAGAGTTGCAGAAAGCTATTCCACCCCTCTTGAACCTCATCTCCTGTATGAAAAAATTGTGTCTCAATGTTTCGAAATTATGCTTGTACGGGAGCTTTAACTTCTCTTGAACGAAAAATTTGCGCATTGTACATTTGTTCCAAACCCTTTCAGGAACATCTTCTTGAGATAAATTTAGTAGAATCACGTATTGAGCACTGTCGTTTGCAATTTTTATGTTGTAGGTCTCAATTGCGAACCTTGCTTGCACTCCCTCCATTGCTTGCTTCCTTGAGAAAAATGTCAGGGGAGTTCTGGGGGAATTGGCGCCTAAATGTGCAAAACACGAAGGACCAGGAAACCCTAGCGTTCGAGAATTACGTTCGTTTCCCCTTAGTAAGCTGGAACAGCTCACAATTGAAGTGAAAACCAACATGGTCGATTCAGCCCATAGTGGGGAAAGTAAGCCGGACCCAGAACATGACAACGTCGGCGAGCGCGAGAGAATCCAGAGGATTCAAGGAGAAGATGACATCATCGATAGAAACGCAAATTCTATGGAAGGTATAGAGAAACCTGAAAAGGCGGCGGAGGAAGGAGATATGAAACCCGTCGAACCTGAAGGGCGGCGGAGGAAGGAGACGGAGAACCCGTCGTTGCGGAAGAAGACCCAGTGGACGATTTTCTCAATGGTCTAATGGAAAAGCAAGATGAAGCAATGTCTCGAATTCAACTGGAACTCAGGAACACAGAACAAGCTATTCTCGATTTCGACAGGATGTTGCGTCATCTAGAAAGAGAGCGCCGGTGCACCTCGACGATACGATCAGGGACACATTAACAAAGCTCATAAACGCTTTATGAGTTGTGCCTTCTGCGAGGCAGTCGGACATTATTACTCCGACTCCTGCACGGTGGTCCGCGACGTAGCGAGTAAACCAGCTTATTGAAAGCAACAGAAGATGCAAGCAATGTCTTGAAGTGATTTGCGCCCGAAGACTCGCGTGTATGAAAAACCTTACTACTTGCTTCTACTGCCGTAGGCGAGGCCACCATAGCGCACTCTGCGAATTCCCGGACTACTGTGCCACCATCCGTTTACGGAAAGCGAATGCACACGAAGCAAGGAGGAGAAGCTTTGCAAAGCTGTTACGCTTACGAGAAGAATGTCGAAATAAGGCTATCTCATCCGTAAAAGTCATGCGCCTTCACCTGCGCCTAGTTGTTGGAAACACACCTACAGAGGCAAGACTCTTCCCCACCCCAACGGCCTGGGCCTTCCCTTTTTTCGTTAGCAAAGTCATTCCATCCCATTCCAGTATTGCAGCTCCGATGCGATCGGAACCTCAGAATTCGAGACACATGATGGCAATGAAAAAGCGAGCTTATCCCCAGATCTGAAGTAAGCTCTTGTTGTTTCTTGGTGATGGGAATTCAGCTTATCTCCAGCAGAATCTAAAAAACTCAGAAACTATATAAACATGACCTCAGTTGCGCCTGAGATGTCTTACACCATGATCCCTTAGCACCATGCCTGCGAGACGCTGCACCGACTCTCTATGCACCCCTTGAACTTGCTCATGTTCTTCCCAGCTCTCTTCTGACCCGGTGTTTCACTTCATCATGTCTATAGCCTTCGTTAGGTCAGGTATATGTCACTGTGTTTAATTACCCAAGTTTGAGTTTGAGGTGAAATAAATTTCTGCTACTGGTGGCATTCGTATTTCTCCGGGTGGCAATCGATTTCATTTAAGTATACACAGTTCTCGACTGTAAAAGTTGTTTTTTTCAAATACCCGTCAGGGAGAAACATAAGGAACGCACAGCGTTTTTCTCTTTTCTAGGACTATACCACTTTACTGTAATGGCCCAAGGCCTTAAAGGCGCTCCACCAACCTTTCATCGCGTTGCTAACAGCCTAATTCGAGGATTATGAGCATGCTGTTTCGCCTATATAGATGATATTCTTATCATTAGTCAGTCGGTGGACCAGCACCTCAGCGACCTAGAAGAAGTGCTCCAACGCATTAAAGCGCTTGGAATGAAATCGACTCCGGAAAAATGTTCATTTCTTTGAACGGAAGTCTAATACTTAGGTGTCCTTGTAAATAAAAATGGCACTCACCCAAACCCGGATAAGGTGAGGAGCATAGCCAATATACCGCGTTCAGAGAACGTGAATGCAGTGAAGTCCTCCCTAAGAGCAGCAACATAATTTCGGCGCTGTTTACCGCTCTTTTCAAGCATCGCTACGCTCGTAAATAATTTGATGGTTGAAGATGCACCATTTGCCTGTACAGAGCACCAGGAAAAGGCATTCTTATCCCTTGAGCAGGCTTTGATAGAAGTACCTCTTCTAGTATCCCCTATATTTGGACAACCCTATATAATCCATACAGACGGATCCACTATAGGATTGGGTGCATGCTTATTGCAAAAGAGCCCAAAAACTCTGGGGAGCAGTCTAGTGGGTATGCGAGTAGATGTCGTAATAAGCATGAGAAAAACTACGCGGTTATTGAGTTGGAAGCACTTGCTATACATTGCGTTTCAAAAGTATGTGCACATCCAACATTTTGTTTTTTGGGAATACCATCGCTTCGTGTAACCTGTGACCTTCACCATTCAATTCCTTGGGTGGGATAACCTACGAGCACTTTCTCTGAAAAAACATCGCAGCTGCTAACACAATTTTTTATTGAAGAAAAATTTTTCTTCGTTTCAAAAGTATGTGCACACTTAGCAAAAAAAACAGAAATGTAGCTGAGATCAGAAATCAATAGGGCCTCCTAAGTTCCTATAAAGGTTATCGACTACGAGGAGTCGTTTGAGCATGGTTTTGTTACGGTAGGTTCTTTAGTTATCCTTGAAATGGATGATTTAGAGTGTGCACATACTTTTGAATTTTCAACTAGACCGCTCTTTTTCATGTATTGCTAGATTCATTCGAGACCTTGGCAACTATCTCTCACAACCTATTCCTGACCGTCCACGTATTTTGAGTGCTCAGGACAACAGGAGAATAGCCCGTCTTATGGTGAATACTTCATTGTCTATGAGTCAGGTCCGAGCTAAGATGGGTTTTGGTGCTCTATCCGCTCTAATGAGTATATCACACGAAAGACGAAGAAAAAGGCTACTCGACTCAGTACTCGCCATCAGCTGACAATGCTGGAGTTTGCTCGTAGGAACATGCCAACATCATGTTGCAAGGTACGGTTGTTCGAGAATTTTCAGGATTTACCTATTCTTAGAGTAAACAACGTGTTGTACCCATTTTGTCCTTAGGTCATCTTCTCTTATGAAAAGAAGTTCAACCTCGATGGGCCGGATGGATTTCGTCATTACTGGAGGGACCGTCGAGGACAGCCCCTCGTGCTTCGAGAAGGGATTTCGGAGGAGGCCCTTTGATGGTCTGAGGCGAGCAAACTCCACCTTGTCAGCGTGTGGCGAGTATTGAGTCGAGGAACCTTCTTCTTCATCTCTCCAGTGATATACTTATTAGGGCGGTTAGAACGCCGAACGGTCGTGCGCGAGACTGATCAACCCATCAGTGCTCGGATCTTACTCACAGACAAAGAAGTATCCGCCACAAGACGGGCTTTTCTCCTGTTGTCCTGAGCAGTGGACGGTCAGGAATAGGTCGTGAGCGATAGCTGCCAGGGTCTCGAATGAATCTAGCTATGCATGAAAAAGGGCGGCCCAGTTGAAGTTTCAAAAGTATGTGCACACTCAAAATTTTTCATTTCAAAGATAACTAAAGGACCTACCGTAAAAAACCATTCTCAAACGACTCCTCGTAGTCGATAACCTTTACAGGAACTTAGGAGGCCCTATTGGTTCCTGATCTCGATTACATTTTTGTTTTTTTGCTAAGCGTGCACATACTTTTGGAACAAAGAAAAAAATTTCCTTCAGTAAAAAATTGTGTTGGCAGCTGCGATGTTTTTTCAGAGAACGGGTTCGTAGGTTATTGCATACAAGGAGTTGAGTGGTGAAGGTCACAGGTTACAGAAAGCAACGGTATTCCCAAAAAAACAAAATGTGGGGTGTGCACATACTTTTGAAACGCACGTAATGTTCACACAGAAGCAATCCTATCCGTATGTAGCAACTGCACGCATAACGCTGATAACGGATCACGCCCCGCTCAAATCCCTGATGTACGGATCAGATTTGATCGGGCGCCTAGCTATGTACCAAATAAGCATGCAATCGTATGATCTAACAATTGAATATGGGGCAGGTAAACACACCACTTTCTGTGGTTACCTCAGCCGTTATCCCGTGCCTAGCGTAAACCCCATTGTTGCGCGCTCCTTACCCTCTTTGGAACAAATCCAGGAGAGTCAGAGAAATTCCAAATACGGTCCGCCTTTCAACCTCCTAAAACAAGAAATTGCAGACCCACCTCGACAACTCGAGGACACTATGCAGCATTTTCTTTACGTAACGGATACTATACGTGGTCAAGCGAAACTGCTCATTCCAAGCGCCCGTGTGCAATCCGAAATAATTGCTATATTCCATGAGAACCCACTGTTAGAATCACATTTCGGAATCTGTAAGACTTTTGAGACATTTTGACTTGATGGTTTGTTAACTGCTGTTATATCGTCGCAGTACGCGTCGCGAGGGCAAGCGGGGTCTCGGTAGTGTAAGGGATAAGAGCACGGTTCCCGGAAAGGACAAGTACGGGTTCGAGTACCGTCCGAGACTGAAGTTTTGTCCATAAATCGCCAACCTGATTTATGGACAAAACTTCAGTCTCGTAATAATAATAATCATTAACACGTCATCACACTTCCACATCACAGTCCATTATACAAAGGCGATTCCAGCTCATCAGACGTTATGGCGAGGGACACTCGAAGTAAGAAGGATAATAGTTCATCTCAATTTGCTGATGTAGCATCGTGTCAAACTGTTCCGGTAGCTGGTGGCCGAAGTGGGAAGGATTTCAGTAAATGGTCCGTACATGAGCTCATTTCCAGCATTTCTGAAATGAACAAAGACCCACTTATTTCTGAAATGCTAACTGTGCTCGCTCAGAAAGTATCTCAAGACCTCTTTGAGAAACGGTCTCGTACCATCGTTCTCACAGGTATGAAAGAATCTGAGGGAAATTTGCCTCCATCGGTCCGCCAAAATGAACTTGAGAAAAACGTATCCAAACTGTTAGACGCTCTTGACGTTGAATGTAGGCCCTGTGAGGTTTACAGAATGGGAAAACGCGACACCTCCAAGCCTAGATTAGTGAAGGTTGTCCTGCCTAAAGTGTCTCACTGGCGTAGGGCTTTAGGCAATGCTCGGAATCTTCGGTATGCTGGCTTTCCCGAGGTCTTTGTGCGTAGAAGCATAACAAGGGAAGAAAGAGTTCAGGACTATGAGCTACGACAAATTGCTAAGGAGAAGAACAAAGATAAAAGTACCAAAGAATGGGTTGTATTTAGGGGTCAACTTAAACATATCTCTGAATTGCTTGGTAGGAACAAGGGAAACATGTAAATTCGCAAGAACAACCGAGCCCGCTCTCTTGTTTTCTGCTCAATTCTCGAAGTCTGACCAACAAAATCTTCCACCTTCAGATGTTTTTAGTTGATAATAAGCCTGATTTGATTTTTGTGACCGAAACGTGGCTCAATACTAATGTTAAAGATTCTGAACTTTTATGCCATTTGCCCTACAATATCTATCGCAGCGACAGACCCAAGCGTAGGGGTGGCGGTGTTTGCTGTATTTACAAAAGCACACTCTCCCTGCAAGTTGTTCCCTATAGTTGTGCTATGAAAGCCGATTTCCTTTGTGTAGACTTGCTTTGTAGCACTGACATGACCTCTGTTAGATTTGTTGTGGTGTATCGCCCACCTAAGTCCGTGAAAGAAGATGATGACGATTTGATTGATGTTATGACTATGTTGGTTTCTTCAAGGCAAGATGTTGTCATTCTGGGGGATTTCAATCTCCAAATCGATTGGCATAGCAATATTTCTTTTGACGCTACGTCAGAGAAATTCTTGAGATTTTTTACGAATTCTGGCTTCAGACAACTAGTGAAAGATCCCACCTATGGGGAGAGAACTCTTGATTTGATTTTAACGTCTTCGCATTACCTACAGTGAACACCCTCCCGCCTATCGCGACCTCTGACCATTCAATGCTGCACTTTTTTGTTGATGTTGCTTCTTCGCGATGGCTTACAGTTTTACCGAAACCTGATTTTATAAAAGTCGACTATGCTTCTCTCAATCATAGCTTCAGTGAAGTTGATTGGTTGATGGTGTTTGATGGTTACACTTCGGTATCCGATATGTATCGCACATTCTGTTCGGTATGAGAAGCTTTCATTTCATGCTCCAATGAAGTTCCCTCAGTCCTCATTTTTAAAGTTCCCTGCCCAC